GAGCCGAGCCGAGCCGCGCGGCGGGAAATCTAACCGGGGACAGGCCAAGGCGGCCTAATCGATGGGTGCAGGGCATTCTGGGCAATGGGCCAGTGCATGAGGTTCCCGGGGGGGTGGGCAGTGATGCAATGTACAAACACACAGACACAGCTGTGCCTTTTGAAAGATTTATCCTGAGCGACACTGTAGCGAATTGGTACCCAATACTGTACAATAGAACAACGGAATACAGAAAACTTGGTAAGTTCTAGGGCACCATGTCACCTTCCATGCCCCTTGTGGAAGACTAGAGTTTCATGTTTCCCATGTCAGAAAACTCCAAACGAAAACAGAGCAAAGCCAAGGGACCCCCCTACCACTGATGCGTGATCACATAAGAATCTAAGAGCTAATGACACGGGGGAGGGGCTTTAATATTTCATTCCTCTGGGTCCCGCAAGAAGATTTTTCCACGATGCGTAAAGCACATGATAACAGGGACGGTGCATTTTGTCATTTTACGATTCGTCTCTGCGGACCCCTGGCAAATGACCTTTGGGCCCCAGGGAGCGACTAACTCGTGGATGAAGACCCCTGTCCCATGCCAAGAGGAATAAGACACTGGGCTACAAGAACAACAGGCCCTTAAGACTGATTGTCGCCTCCTGTAAGACACCCATCCAACCAATGGGCTCTGTTTACACAAACAGCCAATGGTATAACTGGTAACATCTGCTAACTGCAACAGCCATAGGGAAGGGGTATATATTTCATATTAGGCATTAAGAATCAAAAGCAATGAGTTTTAAAAACATCTCACGATGAATCACAGTGTCTAAAACAGGCCACCAAGTTGTCATTAATACCATCATGCTTCAGAGGGCGCCACTAGCACCGAACCCCAAAATACACATTGAATGTTCTCCAGAAGGTTCAAATGTTTCTCACATAATCATTTTTATTTTCCAGTCTGGGTCAAGAAAAGCAGTGCAGATCCTGCAAGCAGACTGGTGTTGTATCGCACCAGAAATTACTATATTTCCCTTCCTGTTAGAATTTAGAGATCAGTGTTGACACACCACAGCACCCAACAATGAAATGTGTCCTCTGCATTTAACCCATACTGTATGTGACATAGCAGGGGGCAGCTAATTCGGCAACCAGAGAGCAGTGGTTGGGGGTGGTACTTTGCTCAGGGTATCTCACTAATCAGGGATTCAAACCAGCGATCTTTCAATTACAAGTGCACTTCCCTAACCATTAGGCCACCACTGCCCCAGGGATTCCCAAAAGGGATCCCAGAGATATTTGGATGCTGTGAGGCGCTGCTGACATACACGCCGTTTTCCAAGAGTCTTGCTTGCTGAGTCCAAGCCAGGATCAGCAGTTCAAAAAGTCAGGAGCCGTGTGCGTCGTTGCTGTTTACCACAGATCTGACACAGTAGTGGCTGATCGTTTGCGTTTAACAGCCGTCTGTTCTGATCGTGTCTCCATTCAGCCGTAGCTTCAAAGCTTCCTTGCCGGAAAATTTGGTCAGATAAGACAAATTGTGTTATGGTTCAGCCCACGGACGGGGTGCCACGGAGAGGTCATGCCGGCCGCGGTCAGTAAGACCAGCGTGTCTGACATCACCGTGTAAGACGGAACTCACTACAGCAATCTGAGGCCAACTCAACGAACGTATGCGGTACAGAGAAGAAACTGAATAAAAACACACACACAAAAAAAAAACAATCGACTGAGCTGAAAGAGAGCTCTGGGTACCAAAGTTTAAGGAGAAGCAATAAGGAAGAGTTACTCTGGGAAAAACGGAGATCAGCGCTGGGGGCTGAGCTGGGCTGGTACAGGAGGTTGTGAGAATTGGCAACTGTTGAAAGACAAACAAGAATCACCGAGGAGGGAAAAAAGACGGAAATAGCAGAGAACAGAAATGTAGGAATACGAGGAGAAGAGAGAAAAGATTCCAATGTGGACAGAGACACGAAAAGGGTAAGGATTCTGAAATTCATCAAGGACAGACCAAAATTGGTGCCACAGCCGAGGTGGGGGGGGGGGGGTAATTGGCTTTGGGTGTTCAGGACCTCACAACCGTGAGGTTGATCTTACGTCGCATCTTGATGAGACCACCCCCGAACAAGACTCAGATTCAATGCTGATCTTATCCGAGTCTCCCATGCAAGATGCAACTCCATGATGGAAGGGTCACCGCCCCTAACCCCCCACCCTCTGCCTCTCTGGGGGGGGGGGGGGGGAGTTTTTTCCACCATCCAGGGCAGTCTGACAACTCGTAATTCTTTGTAACGCGATACGGCGTGTTTTTTGGCCGTGAATCACCAGCCCCGCGGGGCGCCGTAACGCTACACGTAGCGTGGCGTGTGACCACACCAGCCGCCAGGAGGAGACGACACCGAGGTCAGGTCCTCGTTGGCTCGCCGTCAATGGGCACGAGCTGCAGCTCTTACTACCTGTTATTAGTTAATGGAATCTAGAGCATTACCATGCCAAACCCCCCTGAATGGCTGGGAGATAATTACAGGCGTTTTGCTACACTCCTTATTATACACCGCAGTATTAAAAGAGAGTACAACACACGGCGCTTTCTTCTCTCTTCAATCATGTAAACCACAGGACGTATCTCAGATGACTTCAGTCAAAGGTACTTTCCATTATGAGAAAGCGCCGATTAGCTCAATGCCACGACCCCCCCCCCCCCCCCAGCCAAGATTGATGATGAAGGCTTGCGTGAGCGAGAATTCATTTGTGGCCAGGGCACTTAATCGGATCAATTATAAATCAGTCGCTTCAACAGCAAAGAAAGTCATCAAGTTCACAAGCAGATTCAAGAAGGAAAAAAATAAATATCTGCGTCGGGAGTAATTGATAGCCTCCTGCAGAAAGGTGCCTGAAGACACAATCCAAAGGAATATGGAGCCAATCAGATTACACTGTCGTCTTTGACTGCTTACAGCTGGCTGCATCCAAATAGAGACACTAGTGAGTTTGCTGATTCTTTTCAAAGAGTTTGTCTGTCAGAATCAATAAAGGTGACTGACTGTACTTATGGAATCCATTCCGGAAGGTTAAACAGGATGGGTATTCTACAATAAGGGGTCCAAACTATCCCTGGGCCAGCAGTAACATTAACTTATTATGGGACTCTTCCTCTCGTTTGGATAATCGGTAGCAAATTATCCGAGTACATTTCCTTAGTCGTAGGACTCTTTGTTCAGATTTATCGGACCTGCGATTGTGGCACAGGTGCTTCGGTCCAGATTTAGGGGGAAGTTAGCCCAAGAAAAGCTGGAGAAGGAAACGTTTGGGAGAGATGATGGGGAAGAGGGTGCAGACTATTTCCATGGGAGGTAAACACACATAAATCACCTTATAATCCCTGTCACCACAAGAGAAGAAGGCAATCAGCCCCGACAAGAGGGAGACACAGCTAGATAGGGAAGAACAATGCAGCTCTTTCACTAGGGATCTTTCGAAGCATGTGAGGGAACGGAAAAGCCGCTTCAAATGAGAAGCATCGGCCAATCAACGAGTGACAAGGCTCCCTACTGCTGACAGACTTGGAGAGAAGCAGGGGTGTTGGGGGGGGGGGGTTGGGCGTAGAGCCAGGTACAGCCATCCATTAGGAAAATATGGACAAAGGGTGAGTAAAGTGCATGTGAAGAGGTGACTGAGCTGCTCTTCAGGGACAGACTGGGTGTGTGGAGTAAGGGCGGGGCGTCCATCAGGGTGCATTCAGCTCAGGGAGAGAAAGAGGGCTCCTTTCATCCTCCCTGGTCCTGCCTGCAAACATCAGAAGGGCCAGTAGACCCTCGGCGGGGGTGAAGACTACTTCTCAAGGCCTTCCTGACCCTCGGCCTACACCATTCTTTCTTGGCCGTAGGGGGCAAGAGCGGGCAAGACAAGGCGGAACCAGCTGGGCGTCAAGCGAATTCCAGACGCTTTGGGTGTGACTCGATGCGGCTATTTGACCCTTAGGATGGTCGATTAACCCAAATCAGCTGGCAGAGCTGGTCGCCAAGGAGCCACAGAGCAAGAGACTGCGGCAAGGGAATCAAAAAAATCTCAGCCACCTGGCGAAAGATCCCCCACCCCGTGTTCACCGTTGCCGGGGGAATTCCGAGCGCAAGGTTCCAGAATATCTTCCAGAGGCGACTCTTGAGCTCTGGAGACAGTGGATCCCACAGGGATGGATGCAGTC